TCTAAAACTGCACATGCTGGAATAAGGCTGAGCTAAGAAGACATGTAATCATTTCAAGCAGTGACAACCTTTAACACAAAAGTCTTTCCCCATTTCCAGAAATAATGGCCTTGGCCACTTTAGTTGCAGCAGTGAAAACTCCTAAATTGTCAACTACTTGCCAGAACACCCTCGCTTCCATGAATCATCCAAACCATTATTTAAGACACTTTTCTTTTATTTTTAATTTTTTTGAGACAGAGTTTTACTATGCAATTCAGGTTGGTCTCAAACTCATAGCAATCCTCCCGCCTCAGCTTCCCAAGTGCACCACCACACCAGCTACTGAAGACTTCAGGAAACGGTGATTAAATGTGATAACAGAAGATTAAGACATGTACTAGATGACCATAAAATGTCATTTTATGAAATGTCACTTTATGTCATTTCTCAAATTAATTTGAACATGGCCTTTCCTTGAGACTACTAATGAACGTGCCCAGAATTAGTATTTCCAAGAAAAATGATCCCCCCCCTCCACGAAAAAATATTCTAGTTGTTCTAAAAATGTAGTCCAGGACTATCAGTTATGGGGAAATTTGTTTCAAATGCAACTTTTGGGCCCTATTCCAGACCTCTTAAATCAGAAACTCTGTGGGCTCTGCAGGTTACTGACACTCAAAGGAAAAGTCAAGAAGCTCCCCAGTCCAAGCCATGAGTGTTTTACGTACAGTAAGTAGCTCCTGAATGGTTAACTGGGTCCACTCAATCTCCCCTTAGCAGACAGTTAAAAGCCATCATGTCCTATCTCTGCCTGAAACCCTCCAACAGTTTCCATGGTAACTAGAGAATGCCCAAATACCTTATCATAAAGGACAAAGCACTCCCCCAACCTGACCTCACCCACCTTTGTTCTTATCTTGCACGAGGCTCCCCCTTATCTACCACTTTCTGGCCACAGTAGGCTCCACATTCTGGAAATACTGTCTCAAGGGCCTTCTGTAACCCTTGCAGAAGTCTTTCCATTCTCCCTCATCCTGCACGGGTTGTTCCTTAACCCAGGTTTTGGTTCCAGTGTCACTTCCTCAGTCTCATTGCTCTGGTCCTTCTCTCTAAAACCCAGCTTTATTGTCTTGATAGCAGTTATTGTTACCTGCAATGAGTTTGCTTATCAATTCCATGAATGTTGGTGTTAATAAATATTGCCTGAATGAATAGAACCTATCTATGGAATCCAGCTCCTAGCTCACCATTTTCACATATAGTTTGTGTGGAGGTTGAGGTCACCCAATGTCCTTTTTGTCATGAATCCTGAGCTGCATGTAGTTTGCAGCTTCACAAGGTGAGCAAGTGTTAACATCTCCTATTTAGCTATTTCTCAATAGGCCAATGCTCCTTCTGAAAGGCAATGCTCATAACCTTAATGGCATTAAGAAAAATGTCAAATGATTAAATGATGTTCAGAAAAAAAGTTAGTAACAATACAATAAACAAGACAATGTAAATAGTTTTATGTAGAGAAATGACTACTTTTATTTTATTGTGAAACTGTAACCGAAAAAATTATATTTAAATTTTGTGAAAATTGCCCTAAGTAAAATCATTGTTTCTTATTATCTATTGTAACGAATCTTCCACCCAGTAACAAGAAGTGGCATGGAGAACATGGGCTCCCAAGAACACTGACCTGGTTTCCAGGATATTTACCTGCACCTGCCACTTGTGATGCTGGTCTACTTACTTAAGCCCTAATGATCCCAGCTTCCTCAGCCAGAAAACTTGTATCACAATAAATGACAGCAAAGTAACTGAAAATTAGACAGGATAGTGTTTGTGAAGGTAACTAATAAGAACTACAACTTATTGATACTAAGTCACAATAAATGCTCTTCTGAGCCCCTTATAGGTGCTCCCTACCCACATTTGCTAATGATACAATGGGCTTATGTCCATTTCACAGACAATGAGGCTCAGGGATTAATACTTTGCCAGAGTTAGAAAACTGTAAGCATCAGAGAGCTAGATTTTCAAATTTAGTTCATCTGATGCAAAGGTTCTTGCCCTTAGTCATCACCCTGAAGCTAATAAAATGCCAAATGTGGGGCAAACTGCATAAAGACCGCAAGCCCGTCTAACAGGACCCTGATTATTTTTGCTTTCTGCACCACCACGAGGGACTGAGTACTGTCTGCCCTACTCTGCTTTGCTGAACATTTCTTCAGTTTTATGTCTCACTGGCAAAATATTTCAGAGTCTTAGAAAAAGATAACTAAAATTACTACAATGCGAAGGAGAACCCACCTGACTGCCTGGATAGGGTCTCACTGCTTGCTGTCACTCCTTTAGGGAATGTCACTTACACGCTGCATCCCTGGTGAGCAATTGCACCACGTACTGTGCTACAGCAGGAAGGGCACGGTTTCTCTACGAGGTAGCACAGTCCAGGGTCTGGGACTCATCTCTGCCACTGACAGTGCAGCTGCGCGCACACTGCATGACCCATGTGATACTTTTCCCCATCTACTTACCAGGAAAAACAACCTACGCCTCATTGCCACTGCTTGGCACATTATGAACAGTAGATAAAACTGAGCTCCATTCTTCCCCTCACTTACTTCCACACTTTTGGTATCCTATGCTGATTTATGCTTCTGGAAGCATGGGCTTAGACCCTGATTTAAATCAAGTTTCTTAGATACCCTTTTACAGTGAAGACACTGACACCTTCACATGAATGCCGCATATCCAGGAGGTCATCTGGGGGGGTGACGAGTTCCTGTGAGTGATGTCTCACTGCAGAGAGAAGCCTAAGAACCCTGCTTTACTCTTACAGCCTCTTTGTGAGTCAACTGAGAAAAGAAGCTTCACTGTTTTACTGTATTTTGACACAAAGAAAGCAAACATATATATAGTGACATGTCTACTGTGCTCTTTACACATTGCCTTGGGTCCAAATGGTCTTATTATTTCTGGAGATCAAAATTCCCACAAAAGGATAAATACTTGAAGTCAGGAAATACGTTTAAAAAACATAATGGCTATCCCTAAAAATGAATTCTAACCCTAATTCAGCACTGGGAAAATCATGGATATTTAGGTGTAGTCCTTAACAGTGACTGTTTTTAAAAGATCTTCATTTGAGATCATGTGCTCAAAGAAGATTATTTATTTTAAATACTGTTCCAAATATGAAAATCAGCTGCCCAAAAATATTGCGGTCAGTTCAACAGGAAGTCCCAGGTGCTCCTGGTAAGCTGGTACTATCTCAGAAGCAACCCTTTGGATTATTATGTGAGAACTTTAGACTACATACTCCATCAGCAATAGAATTTGGGTGTGAGTTCCCCCAATTTATGTTGAGAAATTTCCTTATATCATATAAATGCATTGTAACCATAATCATTTCCAGCACTGTGGTTTGCATATGTGTCCCCAAAGGCCCGGGTGTGAAACGTTAACAGCCTGGCCACCAGCCTGTGGCACCACTGGGAGGGGTAAGACCTGTGAGAGGTGAGGCCTAGGAGCCTGTGGGTGGGATGCAGCCTCAAAGCAAATGCCCTCTTATGGTCTCTCTGTGTTTCCCAGCCACCCGGAGACAAGCAGTTTGCTTTCCACGGGCCCCCTACAAGTGCAATGCATCATCTCAGGCCCAAAGGCAAAGGGCTGAGCAACACAGACCTCTGAACTCTAGCCCAAAGCAAACCTTTCCTTGCCTTAGAAGTTGATTGCCTCAGCTATTCTGTCACAGTGACAGAAAGCTAACTTGCAGTTAGGCTACAGATGAAAGTTTGCATTCTCTCCAAATTTCTATATTGAAATTCTAAATTTCACTGCGATGATAGAGATGGGGCTTTAGAAAGGAATCCAGCCCAGATCATTCATCCTGGGGTTCACATCCTTATGGAAAGGTGCAAGAGCTTGTTTTCTTTCTTTCTGCTCTCTAACCTGCAAAGATGCAGCAAGAAGGTGGCCATCTGTAAACCAGGAAGCAATTGCTCATCGTAGCTGCATCTGCTGACACCTTGGTCTTTTTCTTCCTTGTCTCCACACTGTGACGCATAATGTCCTGCTGTCAAAGTCTGCAGCCTGTTATATTACTGGTTATAACAGTCAATACAGACTAAGGCTACGTGTTTATAAAGTGTGCCCATTATGAAATAGGGCCGACCAATTAATAATTACAAAGTAATGAATGTGTACTTGTTTTAATGCTTTCTTTCCTCATTTCTAAATGATGTACGTGCAGTACACAGATATGGATCACTTCAGAGATATTTATTTTAGATGACGAATACGATAAAGGATCTAAGACTCTTTTCTGTGAATACTGTGGAACAAAATCATTTACATTTCATATCCACTTTAGGACACACATTACCTATGCCAGAAACAACCGTGAAATATAGGAATCCACACTTGGATGCAATTCATCATTATCTGCCTAAAAGACAAAGTTTAACATAACTTCAAAACTACACATTGAGCTGACATGGGCTTCTATTAAAATAATACATTGCAGGAAGACAAGAAACTTCTGTAAGTATGCTGTGTAAAGGAACCAAAGTCAGATACCACTTTGATGACAGTAATCCAAGTAAGGCCAGCACATTCTCAGTTGACTCATTAGGTAATGACACTGATCATTTTGTGGCAGTCTACAGCATACCACGTTACTTCAAATAATCCCTTAAAGTTCTCCCAGTAGGAAAAATTACATGATTTTATACTGTTTTATAATCAATTAATATAAATTTTTCTAAAGTAGTTGCATAAGTGTACAAAACACTTTCTTATGTAGAAAACACAATCACTATAAAGAATGGAAAACAAATTCAATTTATACTTTGCTTTGTAAAATCTTCAGTTACCATTACACAAAAATAAGTTACCTAGAAATAGGTAATTAAGAGGAGATTTGAGTGGAATAAAAAATGGTGAAAAGTATTTTTAAATAGTCCTTGATATTTGAGCAAAATAAATTCCAACAGGATTTCATGGAATACAGCGCTTGGGTTTCTTACCTTGCCATACTTCTGTGCATAAGACCCTGTGAGGAGTGAGTGAAAAACAATGATCGTCTCATCCAAATCCCAGACAAACACACGCTAAAGACAAAAACAAAACAAAACAAAAAGATATCAGAGACTGTCAAATTTAAGGAAACAAAAATACACAGAAAACATCTTTCTCCATTGTTGGATAAGGCGTTGATACCACTTGATATTAAGATTATGCTATTTCATTACGTATTTATTTTTAATTTACCAAATCCAACTATGATAAAGCCTGAGGAAAATAAATAATACAAATGATCATAAATTTACTGTCAGAACTACTGGAGAGATCGAAGTAGAAGGATTGTCAAGAATCAGGCCAGCCTGGGAAATTTAGAGAAAATTTTCCCAAAAAAGGGCTCGAGATGTAGCTCTGTGCAAAGGTGTTGGGTTCCCAATGCCACAAACAGAGAGATAAACAGAAAGATTAACTGATTTACACATAGATAAAATTTAAGAGATATCCTAATTTGAGTAAACTCATACATTTACTTACAGTTATTACCAAAAAAAGAGACATATTCAGACTTTATGTAGGTGTGTGCTTAACTTCTGTACAAAGTTTTATAGTTCATGAAGCCATGACACTTTTAATTTATGCAAACAATTCAATTTAAAAATATTTAAAAGCATCACGAGTTATCCCTACATAGAAATTGTTAAGTGTAGATCTTTGGGTCCGATTAAGCTGATGAATGCATTGCTTGGCCTGAACAGAGCTTGGGAAGATTTCAAATTATTTACCAATTTTCCTGAATTAGATTTCACCAAACTTCAGTTTGTTCGCAACAGTGAACCCAGAGGTCCAGGCATGCTGGCTGACACGCCCAAGTGGAAGCGATGGCAAGGTCCTTGGAGTGGGCTAAGTCTCTGCCCCCACAGCCTGCTGGGCTTCCAATGCTGGTGACTCATTAAATCATCAGCCACCATCATTGAGATACAGGAACTCATCATTCATGCAGAGGCATGACGTCTATTAATTTGCACTAAATCTGAAAATTTAATTATTTTTCCTCAATTGAAATATGTGCTTAAGAGCAGTTTCTCCTAATGCTTTTTCCCCAAGTTTTTATTTTTTATTGGTACATGTGTACAATACATAAAGATCACATTCCTTAGGGGAAGTTGGTAGATGTACACAACACACCTCAGTTCTTTTTGTATTCCCTGTCCCTGTATTCTCTTTCAGTCTTTCCATTTGAGAAAGATCTCCCTTGTTCTTTACCGGTCCTTAGTCCTTTATTTGGGTTGTCATATAAGAGAAATCATGTGATTTTAAACTCGTGTTTGATTTACTTCACTTAACATCCTAATGTGTCATAAAAATCGATCTGCTTAGTGTGGCTGTACCTCAAAAGAGCTCACAAGTAGAAAAAATGCCATATGTTGAAATTTTCACAAATATAACAATTTAACACATATGTCAAAGGAATAACATTTTTTCTATTGTCAGATGACTTTTTCTTTCTTTTCCTTGTGGATTACTTTAATCAAATATAGGGACACACACGTATTTGTCTTTCATTAGTTTTGGACTACCAAATACAGTGTTTTGCAGAAAATTATTTCAAAAACAATAGCTTTATTTTTAGAGTTCCTGCTTATGCTAATTAAGATCCAATATAAAATTGTATCAGGCCTAGAACTTGTAAAGTACCATCACTTTTGAGCTGTTACTATTTTTACGTGTGTCATGATAATGGATGAAATCTGAGTTGTAAAATGCCTAATGACAACGCAGGCTCGTTTGATTCATGATATGTCTTTTTAAATTTAAAAATTATGGAATAAAATGGAAGTGTGAGGTATGGAAAGGACCATTCAATGAAATAAAGCATCATACGGTGTCCCTTAAGAATAGTTAGGCATACCTCCAGGTCACTGTCGGGAGGTGGGGAGGGGTTATTTTTCCGGCCTCTTCCTCGGGACTTTGATCCAGAACTTCTACATGTTCGGTCATCAAGATCTTTGATGGGCGTGGAGGGGCTCTGCACGGTATCAAATTCTCCTACAAGTAACATAACATGTCAATAAGAGCACTTCATCTTTAAATCAGATGTGAGCATCATTTTTAATTTTCTTAGCAAATTATACTAGAAACCTCTTATGAGAAAAATAAAAGATTTATAATTCCAAGCATACAAAATTTTAATTTAGTCAAAAAGTAGTAGGTCACACAAATCCCTTCTAGTTTTATTAGAAGAGCTATTAAGCCAGAATGTCTTTTATACACTACATGGCTTCAACTTCCTATCTATACCCTCATCTACATATTTACATACATTTAGATGTATCCCCACTCCTTCATTGTCATAATTTACCCAGCCTGCAAACTCAAATTCCTAGCCCCACCTCTAAGGAAACTGTGCCCAATTAGTCAAATCCTCACTCATCTTTCCACAAGCTCTTCCTTTCCAGTGGTCACAAGCAGGCTTAACGTCTTTCCTCTTGACTTTGCATTCTACCTCGACACGCTCTGCTGCTCTCTTAGCAGAATGGTGCATACCAGTGCAATGGAAATAAATGTGGTCTATGCATACACAATTATAAGTGATGTGGCAGTCACATTTTAAAAAGTAAAAGAGGCATGTAAAAGTAATTACCATATGTTCATTAGTTCAATATATGTAAAATATCACTTCAACATGTAACCCAAGTAAACATTAGCAGTGATTTGTTTCACATTCTTTTTTTCATACCATGTCTTTGAAATGTTGGGCACATACTAAAGAATTCCACCTATGGGAGTTACATTGTGAGTGCTCAACAGCCACAGGTGGTCTGCAGCTATGGTTCCGGATAGCACAATTATCTCCAATTTATGGCATCTAATTTATCATATCTAGCTTCAGTTTACCAAGGCTCTAATAAAAACACTCATGCAACGTGTCCTCAGATAACTACTGAATTGAAAAATACAAGAGACAGGCTCTGGGCTCATCCTACTGGATCTCTGTGTGTTTGATCCTCTTAAACACCATCTCCTAGGAACCATGCTTTGGTAGCTGATACCCTGCACTACTCTTGCATGTAGGATTACAGCAGTTTTTCTCTGTCTGGGATTCTTGCCCTTCCTTTCTCCATTGTATCAATTGGAATTGAAGAGTTCTATTCTTTGGTCACTATGTTTTGCAAATTCACATAATCTGAGCAAGGAATTATTTCATAGTCCGTGATCCTGTCCAAGATGACCTGTGTGTAAGTACTTACTTCTATGCAGATTACATCTAAAGTTTTACATTTCTTATCTACTTGGTTTCCATTTGTACAATGGATAAGTAAAATTCGGATACATCTAAAGTGTTAGTGATGTACCTTAGTAAGTATAGAATACTGAGCAGTAGCAAACTCTGTGAGGTGTTATTAAGATAAACAGAGGCCAATGTGAAGTAGGGTAGAATAAACAGAAGAGCCAGACATTGCATAATTTCAGATATTTCATTCAATTTCTTCTCTGTAGGGGGAACGGCAGCTACCATTTCGGATTACTGAGGGAAAGCTAGGTTTATATATAATGTGATTTAAATTGTATGTATACAATAAAAATTTCTAGGAGAGTCAGATATCCAACTCTACTGAATTTAAGTTACACATATTTAAAACATTAAGATGTTATGAATATCATGCTCTACTATCAAATTACAGTAAAATAATTCTCAAGGCAGCCAAGCAGAATTAATCTATATAAATAAATCTGAACAAGCTAGGTACACTTAGGCATTATATTTTCTGAAATAGTAATTTTTAGAGCTGAAGTCTTATCATTTCTTTTTTTATGACATTTCATTTTTTATTACATTTCAACGTGTCCTCAGATAACTACTGAATTGAAAAATACAAGAGAGTTGCACAATTATACATGTCAGGACAGGATCAAAACAAAAATTGTCTGTGCTCCAAATACCGTTTGCTCATAAAATACTGTTAGCATAGTCTTTTTTATCATCTGTGTTACAGTAGATAGCACAATAAAGCTTTTTAGTTATGGGTTGAATTTAGTCCCATCCCATAATAAATTACATATCAGCCTATTTGTATAGTCATTAAGGGAGGATTTTTATATCTGAACACATCAACTTTTAAATAAAAGCACACAATTTTTTTTATTTTAAACTATTTCTGAAATCAATTTTTCCTGTTTACTATATCCAGCAAATTGAATGTTCTTACACAAAACTATGATTCAAATTAGCTCTTGCTACTATAGCAAGCTTTTAAAAGTATTTTGGATGGCATTCTATTAAAATTTGTTTTTATTTTCATTATAAATGAATTTCCAGATGTTACATATAACATAGTTTTATTCTTGTACCAGCAAAAAACTGAAAAAACAGAACCTTGCAATACCCCAATCACTGTGATGTGGGGATCTACTTGCAGAAATGACAGGGCTGTTTGAATGTGGGATCCAGCAATTGTCATACTGGTGAATGAATAGATATATGTGTATGTGTGTGTTTGTGTGTGTGTGTGTGTGTGAATGAATGTCTGTGTGTGTAATTTGTTCTGTGTTCTTCAAGATGAGCAAACATTTCTAATGAATTTTAATTTAATAAATGAGCAATGTCTTGACGAATTGTACATGATGCCGAATGTCACAAGATGATAACTGAGCCCATGCTTCTACTCTGTCACTTGCTGTAGGATTGTGGGTGATCATTTTGCAACAGCAAGGTAGGTTAAAGAAGAGAGTTTTGACTACAGAGGGAGAGGAGAAAAACGGGGAGGACTTCCTTACTTCAAATGAGGTTAGGAAGATGTGTAAAATGTGGAAAATAGTGCAAATTTCATAGAAAAGGACTACCCAAATAATGCTAGCAGTGCAAATGATGAACCTGTTTAATGACAATACAATGCCACATTTCTGTGATATTCTCAAAAGAAGGCAAACAGGTGTCACTGGATAGATTTCCTGTTAAAGTTGCACAAAAGGAAAAAGATCCCACTGAGTCAACAGAAAGCAGTGATCCCACCAGTGATAATGAAAGTTTTCTACAGGATGATTTCTCTGTCATCTCTCTCATACCAGTCATTAAGCTTTTCAAAGTTTGGTACAGGTTAATTTGTCTATTGTTCTTTATATTTTGTGTTATCTTTATTATTTTGGATTATATTATAGCACTGTAATCATTTTTTATGAATATTTCTGGGTTATTGAATGAATGTTTCCATTATTTCTTATGAGAAAATTCATTTTGATATACAAGTGTTTTGGATTACAAGCATGTTTCTGGAACAAATTATGGTTGCAAACCAAGGTTTTACTATATACATTCTATATATGTTCATATATATATATATATATATATATATATATATATATATATGACTTACATTGAACTCCAACCCTGTAAATTAGGTCTTTATTACATTATTATCTTTAATAACAAAAAATCCAATGACATGTAGGGCTTAATTAACCTATCAAAATTAATTATCTTGCATTTGGCAATGTTGGTGTGATTCCAGAACTCCTGCTTCAACTCCCAGGCTCTGTTACCTTCCCTAAGCTGCAATTGATCTCCAGATCACAAAAAGGCAGAATCTGTATCTATTTCTACTGATCAAAAGAACTACAGAAGAACAGACAAGAATGGAAGAAAACACTGGCAAACCATACATCAGCAAAGTGTTGTAAATATATTTTTTTTTTGGTCTTTTTCTTATATTACTGTACTATACGAATTTAAGCTACACTGAGTTATGGCCTTATATCTGTTAGAAAGGCCATTATCAAAAAGACAAAAATAACACTGACAATGAGGAGAAGCTAAGGTAACTCCTGCACATTCTTGTTGGCTATGTAAATTAGTATACCCATTATGAAAAACTATATAACAGCTCCTCAAAAAATTAAAAGTAACACTAAGATCTTGTGACCTCACAACTGAATGTATATCTAGGATCTTAGTGTGTCAAAGAGATATCTGAACTGCAATGTTCATTGTAGCCTTATTCATAGTAGGGAACCTAAATGTTCAATGAGAGATAAATAGGTTCAGGAAATAATGGTACCCAGACACAATGGGATACTACTCAGCCTAAAAGAAGTCTTGTCATTTGAACTGGGGGCCATTATGCTAAATGAAATAAAGCTGTAACAGAAAGACAAAATTGCTTGGAATATAAAATGCTTGTCCTCAGAAATAAAAAGTGGAATTATGATTGCTAGTATTTTTAATGCTGGGAAGGAGGATTTAGAAGCCGTTCAAGGATACAAAATGTTAGGATGGATTACTGTACAACATGACTACTATACTAACAACAATCATGTAGTATTTGAAAATTTCTGGGACTATATTTTAAGTATTAATGCTTATTTTAACTCAATGCATGAAGTAGAAGAGCATTCCCATGGAGGCAGATGTGGCTCTGGGCTGCTACAGACATTACCCAGGTGCCACTGTCTGGACCTTCATTCATTCTAGAGGTGTTATCCTTTCTCCTGAAGAAGGGTAAAACCAGGAACTTGAGCTTAACTGGTCATTAAACATTTGTTAACACTATTTATTTTTAATTCTAGTATCCTTGTCAAATTTCACTCAGGTAACTGCAGGAGGACACAGTAATGCCACAGGTGGAGAAAATGTAACTTGGCGAAGTTCTGTGCAGTAGGCTCTCTCCATCTTCACCTTCCTGCGAGTTTCAGGAAATGATTCAGCACTGAGCTTAAGGAAGTTTCGAAAAGGCCACTGTTGTCTATGTAAGATGCTGGCTTTGATGCAGAAAGGAAAATGATTTTAGTAGCCTGTAACTTTTCTGGAGTACTTGCTAAGTTCAATTAGATAATGTACTGTAATGTTCATCAAAGTCTCAAGAGAGAGGATATTATTACAAATTACTAAACCACACTTAAGTTTAAATATATTTAAAATATGAAAAAAAAATGAAGTAATGAAAATATCTTTCATCTTCATGTGTTAATCCATTCACAATCTTTATGAATGTGAATCAAAAATAAAATTTGCCTCTGATAAACTTTATGTTAGAAGCAAAGAAAGATCTCTACAAGGATCATAAACTAAAATGTCTGTTCTTAATCAGCACGGTAGTGTTTCTTTGAATCCACTGTCAAACTACCTAATAAGGTAAAATAAATTACTGAATGCTATTTGCAAATACACCAGTCATTACCAACTGCCCTAGGCATTTCTACATGATTGAATAATTATCCTTTAATCAGTATAGTAATGAATAACTGCTTCTTATAAGTTTTGGGTATTTAGATCCAACTTTATTTCATTAGGTTTATCTCTAAATCAGAGCAACCAGCTGTCTCTTATTGAACATAAGGTATGTTTCTATTTTAAAACTGGAAATCAACAGTGAATGTTCTATGAAAAATTGTGGATCTTAATTGTTAGGTCTCTTCAGTAAGTCTAAAATGCAGAATCAGTTAATGGGAAATTCTTTTCCTGCCCTTGAACTAAATCCATCAGATTTCATCATTAATTTTAAAAAATCCCATAGTTATAAACTTTTTTGCTTTTTGGATACATGCCAGTTCTGAAAAGGCAAAATAAACTTAAAACTACCTGAGGGAAAGGTCTGAGGTCACAGAATTCCTTAAAAAGTCCAGACATATGGGGTTGCTATGAATTTGGTGGACAGAAAATACAGTTACAAATAGAAGGCCTTTATCTTTACATTCAACAGAAAATCTGATGAAACCTGAAAATTATGTCAAATCATATTTGTTGGAATTAGCAACTAGTGGAAGGCTGAAGAAAATGCAGAATTTTGAGAGTGAACATGAGGATACCACATGTGAATGTGTCACTTTCAAAGTCCCCTGCTCGGACCATCTACCTTTCTGCTGCGTTTAGTATTTCAACATGAATAAAACAGCTCTTCTGAATGCTGAGACTTCTTTAGCAAAAGGAACTCAACATGTGGGTCCTTGCTGCAGTGAAACACTCTCTCATGATCATATCAAAAGTAGAGCAAAATCACTCTTGGACAAAAAGTAGAGCAAAATCACTTAGTAGCATATACCACGCATCTGAGCGCACAAATGGTTTCTATACAGGGTAACTCTAGGCTGGTGACTTTGAAAACACCTTTCTGGTTCCATCTGCTGTTTAGTCTATGATACTGTTATGACAAACCCTCCTGTGATTTTTATTTCTCAACAGGTACCCTGCCCTGTTTTCCTCATGTATTTACAGTGGAGAGAAACATTTCATTACATGCTATAAGAATGACAAATATCTCTGTACCTAAAGGACCTCTTGTTAAGTAAGGAGACTCAAATCATTTACTCTTTCAATTAAGGCCAGATCCTCGATGAAATGCAAGTATTGACTCAAAGAGCAGCAGAGCGGCTTTGGAACACGTGATGAAGGGTGAACAAATGAGGGAGATAGGGAGAGCGTAAAATTTAACGGTCCTGAAAAAGATTGCCTTGCTGAATCTTGTAGCCTGGGTGTTTCACTGGCCTGGTCCATCATAGGGTACAAATTCTCAGGAGGTTGAAGCTGGGAAAAAAGTCTAAACAGGAAGCCTTAGAGGGATGAGGACCAGGATTCAAAGTAACCTCTGTGTTCACCGGAGGAAGAACCCGAAAGGAAAGTAACAGTAAAGAAACTGAAATACAGGGACACCAAAGACAAACTACAAAGTCTGATTGAAATCTGTGACTGTTAAAATTTTTAAAAATTTACTATAGTAAAAAGAACATTGCCGTTTACCCCCCCCCCACCCCCTTGGGATATGTCCCCTCTCTTTGAACACCTTTTGTTCCATTATTCTTGTCACTCCCTGAAGAAGTTCTGGAAGTCCTCCTTTGTTGAGTGTCTTTAGTTATGGCTAACTAGGTGTGCTAAATGATCCCAAACCTTAGCCTTCATGGTCATTTTGACTTTGGGAAAGACTCAGAAATTGCAAGTGCATGATGCGGTGACAAGGTGAACTCAGACACACTGGAACACTTTTGTGAGCCTCCTTTTCCATTGGATGGCTCTGGGCAGCTGCACACACCACAGTTTGGGTCACTCCTTATAAAGACACTTATGAAAAAGACTTCCAGAAATGCGTCACAAAGCGACAAGAAGTGTGTAACGGAGCAGGTGTACTCAAAGTGAGGGGAAGTATACAGAGGAGGATTCATGGCAATGTGTCTTTCACTGCAATTTTTATAATTTAAACACGCATTATATTTTTTGGATCAACCTTTGCATAACTTCTATACTACCTTTCCATAGTTAAGGGTGTACAAGGGTCTCCTCTCAACTGTGAGGGATATATTTTAAGATGTTCCATACATGCCTAAATCATGGGATACTGTAGAGCCTCACATTTGCTATGATTTTATCTATATCTTCATACCTACAATAAAGTTTAGTTATGAGTTAGGCAAGGTAAGCAATGACAGTAGCTAAGAATAAAATAGAACAAATCTAACAGTAGCCTGTAATAAAATTACTGAAATTTTTATCATTTATTTGTGGAATTTTCCACTTAATTTTGGGAGGACCAAGTTGGGACCGTGGCTCACGGACCCTGGGAAAGGGGAAATGTAGATAAGGGAGTAACACTGTGTTTCTGCAGAGAGAAATAAAAATAACCATTGTTAACACTTCGACAAGTAACAATATATGCATAACGTATCTATTGCTTAAAAAAGTGATTTTAGGGGCTGAGGAAATAGATCAAGACCTGGCAAGCCCAAGGTCCTGAATTCAAATTCCAGTACCAAAAAACAAAAGCAAAAACACAAACAAAAATAAGACTTTATTGTTTCTCTTTAATATTCAAATTAGTCTACTTGTTAATATTTGCTACATGACGTAGCATGTCCCCTTTCTTACGACTCACCACCATTATATATATTTGCTTGATCTTTGCCTTGCTTGTTACAGGAAGCCAAAAGTATGCAGAGAGTTCATTCGTGAATGAAATGAGTGTCTAGCACAATGCCGGGATTCAGCAGGCACTCAACAAATAACTATTTAGTAACTGAATCACTGTGCCCGTACTTGTCCAGTTAGAAAGAATTCACAGTATTGTGACCATGCTTCCCTATGTTCTTTTCCTTCCAGAGCTGGATCAAAAGCACAGATAAGCTTGGATCCTGCAAATGACTGAGGACAGAAAAATACACCTAAATATATCTATAGCATTTACAAAATGTTTAATCTCATTTTTCTTACTGATTTTTGATAAAATATTTCTGGGTATAAGTGCTGTATCAGATGTGGATATCGCAATAACATCTCCCAAGATGTGGCCTGTCTTACTATTCTTGCAGCAGTGTCTTCCAAAGAGTTCATTACTCTAGGAAATCTCATTTACTTTTCTCTCCTTTTCTTTTTCTTTTTTTTTTTTTCAGCATTGAATCTAAAAAATCTTTTATCTTGCCCAGACTCATTCAATTTTCTCTACACTTTTCTTATAAAAGTTTTTAAATTTTAGTTTTTATGTATAGGCTTATGATTCATTTTTATTGCTTAGTGTACAAGTTATAAGTTGAGATGCTTTATCCTTTGTGCGTAGATATCCCGTTTCCAGCACCTTTTTTTGAAAAACAAAACACTATTAATTATCCAATTTTCTTGACACTTTGATACAAAAATAATCAGTTTTCTGGAAGATGGCTGCGTCAGTCTCGACTCTCCATTCTGTTAGTCACTCTGTGAATCTGTTTTTTTTTTGTTGTTGTTGTTAATAATGTACATTCTTGACTGCTATACTTCTGTACGTCTTGAATTCTGAATACGTGAATTTTCAAAGCCTTTTTCTCCAAAACTGTTTTTCTATTCTAGTGCCTTTACCTTTCCTTATAATTTTAAAGTCATCTTTACAATTTCTCCCGAAAGTTTGATTTGGATTTTGACTGAGATAAGGATGAATCTCTATTAAACTTGCTTTTAAACACTGCAGTTGTGCTAAATGTGCACAGTAAATACTATCCTAAGAAGAATAATGCAAGTTTCAGATAAGGAAAACTACAGGGAATTTTAAATATTAAGCTCCCTACTACTAGGGATCCTATAAATCTTAGGAATGCAGGAATGCTGACTGACCAGATCTGCTGGAGACGCAGGGATCAAGGAACTACACAGTGTCTCAGGCACACAGAAATATTAATAGTTAGAATCAAAGAACAAAATTTCAAGTTTTACTGTGCTGTTAAATGTCTCAAACAATAAAGAATGGGGCTGACAAAAATTTTATTTACCCATATTCCCTACCTATCTAGTAGTTTGAGATTAACATCTCTTACCGGTCCCACATCTTGCAAAAAGTTTTCATTTAAAAACCAGAAAAGTTGGGGGCTGGGGATTTAGCTCAGCGGTGTAAGCGCCTGCCTTGCAAGCAGGCAGTCGTGAGTTCGATCCCTGGTACCGATAAAAAGGAAAAAGACAAAAAAAAAAAAAAAAAAAAAAAACCAGAAAAGCCTCATTTTATGCAGGGAAGTTAACGCAGGTTAAACAGAAGCACAATTATCTGGAATTCTCAGACATGTTTTTGAAGTGCGCACTTTCACTTAGTGACTCAAAACCACAGAACACTTAGCAGTATTTCAGTGGGCTGGAGATTGTACCTGGCTGGCTCGGCAGCCCGGGGAGAGATTCCTGTAACTGGTAAGTGGAGGCTGATGTGGACGTGCAGTCAGCAGTGTTATTGGATGTCATGTAGGCTCCATACGTTGATGCCGAGTAATACTGTGCATACTGGTTTTGGCCAAAGGCTGTGTAGGATGGATAATCCTGAAACAATAATTGAGATGTGTGTTTGAACAAGAAATTACCCTCCGAGATGCTAAAAACAACCTCCATGAAGGATTAATATCCAGCTCCGTTTGTTTCAGAGTTTACAGCTTTGAGGTGCTCCTAATGAGTGAAGTCTCTTTTGTGAGCTATCTGTATGTACACAAAGTAATTAACTTCCCCGTGCTTTCGCAAACCAGGTCTAGTACTCAGATTTTAAACTGCCTAAAGGGAGCATGCAACTTATCCAAGGATTTAGATTACTGAGATCCATGCAATGCAAGAGGAGGAAAGGAGAGCGAATTGGTTCATTTTTGTGAACTCAATTCTTATCTATCTATCTTATAAGAATCGGCAAGGAGTTAGGCTGTTCCTCTGTTTTTACACATACCTGTGTGCATTTTTGGAAATTTTTGTTCTTGTAGGCTACCCATACTAATCTCATTTTCTTGGCAGGAGGGATAGGGTAAATAAATGCAGATGAGTGGGAGACTTATCCATTCTTTCACAACTATGTGCTATGCAGCCTTGACCTCAAGTCTTCGAGGAAGCATTCAAATATTTAGCTTTCTCCTTTGTTACAGACAAAAATGGAATCACTGAATCAACTCCTCTAACCTGCTTTTCATTAGAAGTTTTTTTAAGAGCCTTAAAATGATAAGAATGATCCCTGAAAATATTTTAAACACTGAGATGATAAGCAAGGATTCGTTATGATAAATGGTGTTTAAGATATCTGCCATGTTTTGGCCCAAAATGTTATTAGTGATGACATAGCTTTAGTCAGGATTATGATCCCCTGCTGTGACAGATCTGAGGGGACAAAGATCTTTGCTCGATATCATTTTGAAAATGGAAATTCTGTGGATATGTAAGTATGCATGTTATCAGAAAGGATTCAGTAATACGGCATACAGCAAAAAGCCTATTAGTCTGCTAATTTAAAGATTTAAAGCTCCCTGCCACTACCTGTGAGCCAAGGGGACAATCTCGTCAATATTTGAGCGGGTTCTAGCACACATATTTTTTCAGCGTCAACAGTGACAGCCCACATTTAGTGCTGACTTTGGGTCAAAAGACATTGTTCTAAGAGCTCAAATAAACTTGCTTATTTCATCTTCGTGACCTTGTCTGTGGGATTATTATCATGCCCATTTCACACTGAAAAAGACTGAGGCTTGGAATGATTAAATGATTTGCATCTGGTCACACAGCTAGTGATTTCTGGAGCTGGAACTGCAACCTGGCGTCCCCTGTAGCATCTGTGCTGCCGCTCTGGGCTAGCCTGCCAATGCCCTCAGAGGGAAAGGGAACTGCAGCCTGGAAAGGCCCCCTGGCTACTGCTGGGGAACAGGAAATCTTTCCTTACTTAACCCCATCTCCAAGGTCTCCCTTTCTCTTCATTTCCACTCTCGTCATCCCTGCTAAGCTACTGCCTTCACTTCCTGTTGCAGGCAACACAGTTTGAAATTCATCTCCTTGTTGCCATTCGCTTTTCCCAAAGATACTGAAACCAGAATAATCTTTTCAAAATGTCAGTCTTTTGATGCTATTCTCCTCCTCCAAGCCTTTCAAGAGCTTCCTACTGGATATGGAACAGTGTCCAAAGCCTTCCTGTAAGCCATGGGTCCTCACCAAGCAGGCCCTGGTCGGTACCTCTCTGACTGTGTCTCCCACGCCCTCCTCCCTCTGCTGACTGAACCCCAGCTTTCCTCCACTGCAGTTACACCCCTGGGGAACTCGCTGCTCCCCTGCCTGAAAACTCTTGCTCTCATTCTTTACCTAACTCTGAAAAGTCTTGGCTTAAATATCATTCCCACAAAGAAGGCTTCTGCAGAACCTCCCCTGCTCAGAATTAGAGATCTACTAATATCTTGTTCTCCTCCTTCACTTACATTCATTGTGTGTCAGCTTCCCTTTGGAGAATGCAAGTTCCACGAGACTGACATGACACCCCGTTCCCCAGGTGTAGACCTAAGATGTCACACTATTGAGGATTTGTTAGAAAGGGGAACTGGCACTCAGACCACCACCCAAAGTGAAAACTGAATCTTATACCAGACCCACTCAATTTAAATCTTCACATAGAACTGCATCACATCTACGATTCCGGTTTTGTAAATATGCTTTCTTGCACTTATGAATCTTTCTTTGATGTTCTCAAATAGAATAGAGTAGTGTTTCCCCACACTACCTTCTGCCTAGTGTGTGGTCCTATTACGACGGTCAGTATGTCCTACTCTCTTACTTTAGGAAGGCTGCCTTTTGAGAAAGCAGGAGCCAAAGACTGTTTCTGAATCTGCAATGTCTAGTTCACAAATGTAATGTTCAACATGTTTAATAAATATATGCTATATTAATAGATGAGTGAAATTATACTATCAGTCTGTTTTTAAATTCTACCTTTTAAAAATAAAATATATATGGTGTTTCTGATGTTTAGTGATTATGAACATTTTTTCCTAATGTCAAGTTTCAGTTTAATTTTATCAGAATATTTTAATTCTATCCTATTTTAACAATCAAAATTTCCTCTAGGCCTTGGATGATGCTAATAAAACCATAAAAAGCAAAATTAAATTATAGGACATGCAAGCACTTGTATAAAAACATTTTAAAATATCTAAAAGCACAGAGATAGCATTAAAGTAATAGTAAAGCGAAATAAATCAAACTCACAAGCTTAAATACTCTCTTATATGAGAAATCCCCAAAGTATAAGATCAAAATAAAAGATAATAGCAAGAAACAGGGAGATGGGGGAAGGGAACGGAGAGATGGAGGGGGAGAGGAAGAGGGAATCGAAAGAGTACGAGAAAAGAAAGTGCGTTGTGTGTTGTGATGAAAGCAATTTTTTGTAGTGCAAGTATGTACAAATAAAAATTAAAATAAATAAAACTTAAACATTAAAAAATACTGCTTGTCTAGTATCAACTACCCTTCAATCTCAACTCTGCTGAACATGGCTGAAAATCAGGAAATGAAGAAAGGCTCTGAGATGTCAACATAACTCACAAATTTATCTCTGTCAGGTGCCTCATTCAGGGACATTTACTCTTGATCAACACATACTACTAATAGGCTGGATTTACTTATTTTTAGTTTAGCAGGTTAGATTTAAAAACTCATGGAAACAGTAATAAATATAAATATGGAGAGGAACAAGAGCTACTAAATGCAGGCTCAGTGGGTAAAGCAAAAAACACAGCTATCAGAAAAGAGAAACCAAACAGTTAATCAGAGAAATCATTGAACTAAAAAATAAAATAATGGAAGTAAAACTTTCAATTTTAAAAAAAACTAATAATAGAAAGCCAACAGTAGTTTTGGTAATCAATGATATCTTTTTGAAATGAAAATGTCTTGTAGTCTATAATAAAATCCTATTATTGGTTAATATTTAGTCTACTAATTAATATTCATGGTAACTATTTTATCAGTAGTAAGAAAACTTCATTTAAGATAGTTTTAAAGTAACAGTAAAGTATTTAATGTATTTTATAATTACATGGCACATGATTTAAATGATTGCAAATTAAATGGTTAATAGACAAATTTTAAGAAAGTAAAGAAACTGAAATAAGAATAAAGAAAATGAAAAGAGAATAACATGCATTCCAAAAATTCTCAATAGGTAATTTTGGACTATCTCTAAGATGCTAATTTAACTTTAAATAAGGAAACATAATTTTCGGAAAAGGTACACTTTCCAAAGAACACATATGATACTATTCAAAAATCTGCAATCAATATAAAAAAAGCATAAATACAAAAAGCTACTATACCTGTTGTGAACCACTGAAATTTGTTGAATTCGAAACTGAGTTATTCGCATAAATAGTAGACGATGGTGCAAAACTAGAACCTGGAGGCAAAGAACAAACTTCATTTTATTTTATTAGATATTTTTACAAATTGCATTTTAGAAGGCTTCATAAAACTCAACAGGAGAAAGGATGGAGTCCTGTCACTTGCAACAGCATGGACAGAACCGGAGTGAAGTAAGTCAGGCCCACAAAGGAAAGAACCACGTGACCTCACTCATTCGAAGAATCTATTTTTTTCTTATCGTACATAATTTTATTTTTTAAAATTTTTTAAAATTTTATTTTAAAGAGAGTAAAATTAAACATAACAAAATGAAACAAAGCAGACCAGAAGGAATCAATGTAACAGACACAGATCTTAAAACAAGATAAGAGGAGATCTTCACTGTCTATCATATTGTCTCTTGTTTTCTTCCAAATAGTTGTCCATATTTTCACATACAGTGAATTCATACAAAACAAAATAGTATAAAACTGATCAGAACAGAATAATAAAGGTATTTTAGGTCTTTAAGACCAGACGATAGTGAAGTCAAGAGTGGTTGTCATAACGTCTCTCATTCTCTTCAAAATAACGGTCTATACCTTCACGTATGTTGAAATTAAACAATACAAAACAGACTAAAATACTCTGAACAAAGAATAATAGTATTGCTGTATTTCACAACATGATGCCACGCAATCAGTGCTAGGTACCATAGTGTCTCTTTCTTCAAAGTAGTTGTTCATTTCATCATGCATTGTATAATTAACTCTCACAAACTGTTTAGGAGAAGTTCTATGCACGTGTGAGTCTCTACATGTATAACTATCCTTTCTGAATTAGAGGGAAAAATAAAACAAAACAAAACACATTTCTAGAAAAACACGAAACAAAAAAGACAAATAAATAACAATAGCAAAGAGCCCAGAACACTGACAACATAGGCCTTCAAAACAAGGTGGTTGGAGCATAACTGGGGTTGTTATTTTACATAATGATCTTCAAGAGTTCCTCAGATCACTGTATACTAACATGCAGAATTATTCCAATCCTATGAATGTTAACTGTTTTGTTCCAAGAACTTATAGAATTTGTAACACAATCATCTTAGCTATCCTAAGTGTGTTTATATAATTTTAGATATTTTCTTTTCCCTTCCTTTTTCTTTTTCCTCATTTTCCCTGAAGAATCTTAAAAGAAAAAAAAAAAATGATGGCTTACAAGATTACAGGAGAAGGGTGAGGGACATAGCTCAGTGGCACAGCACCTGTCTGGCAAGCACAAGGCTCTGGGTTCGATTTGCAATACACCACCACCACCACCACCAAAGGAAGAAAGAACAGTGGTTATCACAGGCTGAGCGGGGAAGAGAAGGACAGGAAAAGGTGGGTCAACAGGCACCAGTTACAGAGAGGAGAAAGTAGTCCTGGTGTGGTAGTCCACAGGACGGTGACCATAAATAATGAGGTATTCTATATTTTTTAAAAAGCTCAAAGGATTTTGAGTGTCTTTATCACACATGGTAAATATTTGAAGACTTGGATAGGGATGATAAAAAGTACAGAGAACAGTTAAACTAAAAATTGCAGTAAAGAACATATTGCCATGAATTACTCTTAAAATACTCGTAACTCTCATCCTATTGTTTTTGACAATGTGTCTTCTACTGTAGTAAGTTTAAAAAACGAAGCATTCACTGACTATATGTTTGGATCACCCTTCGTTCAACATTACACAGTGTATACCTCTATCAAAATATCTCAGGATACCCTATAAACTGGTAAATTATGTATAAATTAGAAAATAAATAAAATTTTCATACAACCCAAACCATCCCCCCCCAAATAAAACAAACTTTGCATAATTCAGTGAGGAAACTATATTTGGAAGCCAGTAAATTTAAAGTAAAGAGACTTATAAATTAAGTGTTAATGGCTCTGGCTCTTGCTGTGATGGCTGGTGAAGCCTTTCCTGGTGCAAGTGCCAGGCTACACAGGAGCAAACAGGGTCAGTCTTCCCCAGGACTGGAGCTAACAGCCAAGAGTGGAGGTCTAGAAGTACGGGGAACTCAAAAAATAAAATACAGCACCGGCTGAGACTCTTTCAGAAAACAACTAGAACTTTCAACTCATACCCACTGAATTTGCATATGAAAACAAACAGAATTAAACATTTGGATGGAGTCACTAGGAAATAAACACATAGATCCCACTTAGAACTGTCAGGAAGCTGGCAGCTTCCTACTCTCATTCTTTTATGTTCTTTCCTTAGAACAAGAGATGTGAGCTCAGGTCAGAACTGAGGAAGAATTGTTTACACCAATCTAAGAGTTGAGGGTCCTGAAAAACTACAAGGTCCTAAATTAATTTGATCATTTTTCAAAACTAGGAAAAATAAGTGAAGACAGATTATTGTTATAATTTTTTTCCTCTTAAATATGTCCTTATGGGTAGTATTTTTTCAGGAGTACAATGAAACACTAGGAAGCCACTAATTATCTGTTTTATCAAGATGTTCTGATTACCGATATAATATGCCATCAATGTGGTCCACTTGGCCTTGGATAGACAACAAGATAATGCTTGGGGACAAATGAAAATGTCTTCATGCTCACTGTCATACTGCTAATTGTGGTTACACCAAGTGTGATCAAATAGTACAGGTATGTACAAGTTTAAAAAATGCATTATTGTAGACGATATATTGCTTTTAACCCTCCTTAAAATACTCCCCGCTTGAATACATTTATTCCATCACTCTTGTCACCTTCTGAAGGAGTTCTGAAGTCCTCTTTCATGAATATTTTTAGTTGCTTTGTGTGGCTGCCTTGATGTACTGAATCAGTTCAAACTATTCACCTCTTTGGTCATTTTGACTTTGGAGAAGAGCTCGAAGTCACGCAGTGACTTCACAGTGATAAGGACATACACACTGTCATGTTTTCATGGGCCTACCCTTTGGCACCTGGCAGCAGCATTCACTGTGTACTTTTTTAATCACAGCTCGTAAGGACATTTGCCTAATGGTATGCAGGGAAGCATATTTCTACTAGGTAAAAAGAACCATAAATATCATCTTGTCTAATTTTAGTCAAGTGACTAAGATGTAAATAGAGTTAGTTCAAATAAATTAATACAGCCCCAGATATATAATGGAACAATTTAGACAAAAGAACAAATAAAACCAGTTTTTAAAAATTTTTTTAACTGTTATTGAAATTTTTCTGCTATTACATAAAGCTGAAACACATTTTTTTTCTTTTTTGGTATCAGAGATTGAACTCACGACCTCACTCTTACCAGGCAGTGCTTATGCCACTGAACTAAATCCCTGGCCCAGGAGTCAAAAGTGAGAAAAAGTTTTCAAATGATTGTATATGGAGGACAGTGGATGAGATGTGGATAAAATGTGGCAAAACATATACATAATTCTACTGAGAAATACTGTATCAAATAGGGAATTAATCAGTGATAATTAAAAGAAAAGTACTACCTTCTAAATACAATAGCAATACATTACAATCAAAATAGCATTACATTTTTATGGAATATTGAAAAGAAAATATTGGTTTCATTCAGAATCTTTTAAATTACTCCAGCAGACATCAAACCTATGAATGATAGACCTAGTGACTGGCCTGAAGATGACTTCGCTTGGACTTGGTTCCTGCTGATATTATGCAGCTTATTACATGTTCACATTTTGTGTGAGTGATGGTTCTTGATGTATATTCAACTATTTGCATGCTTCTAGCTAGTTGTTGCTCTTTTGTTATGGCTGTAAGGAGTGGTAAAATTTAAGCGTCTTTGTGACTGGCTATTTTTTAGTCTGCAGCCACCGAGTCCTATTCAAAGAACTTATTCCAACGTAACAGTTTTCACGTGTGGCCACTTACCTGGCATTTGGTAGGAGTAAGGCGTCTGGCCTGGCTGTGGGGTAGAAAACCCTGGGCTGTAACTGAGGCAGCCACTCTGCAGTGGTGACTGAGTTTGGGAAAGGCCACCCTCTGTCTTGATGGCTGGCAACATCACACCCAGATCTGTTTTGGAAATGCATGTGCAAACCACTTAATTAGTAAGATGATCTCCCACTGAGCACTAACTTACATGAGAATATAAAGCTACCAGTGAGCAGGTTTACCTGCTTCTAACCAAAGAACAAGACAGAGATCAAATACCGTAAGTGGGCAGGCTGTAGGGCTGTCCTGTCTGTGAGTAGGCTGTGTACACCGCTGGCTGCTGCATTCCCGAATACTGAGACTGGCCTGCATAGGCAGACATTGTTTGAGCTGCTGGTGTAGAAAGAATGTGTGGATAGGGCCTAAATATCAGAAAAATAGCATTACTGTGGCAACAAAGACTGCACATTAATTCAGACAGCTTAGATTCAGTGAAACCCTATAATATCCAGGAAATAATCTTCCTCTTTATCCACAACAAAGTTTAACAATATAAGAAAGAGTTTAAACATCAGGAGCCCCGGCTCTGCTACAAACTACTCTGGGTAAATAATGTAAACTCCCTAAGACAATAGCTCGTATTTAAAATGAGAAAATTGGCTTCGATGTTATATGTAAAGTCACTAAAGTTCGGGTCTATAATTCTTGTTTGCATCTAAAGCAACAGTACAATTAATATCTAGGTGAGCAAAACTGAGACATGACAGTCTATCACGGTTAATAGACTTGGAGGCATATTTATAGTCATCATGAGTGGCCAGTGATAGACAGTGATCACCAAAGTCTATCAGAAAGGGCTTCCAAGAATTCACTATCAAAAACTAAAAATCTTATAAAAATAATACAGAAGAAGGTTTTTCTGAGAATAAATGGAAACTATATCCTGCCATGTTTTGTATAATGTCCCTAAGGGACTTCCACTCCCCAGTCTATTCCTAGGGGCATCTCTGTGTTGCAGAAAATCACATAATACTGCAATGTGTATGTGTCAGGAATCTAAATCTTGGTCGATTTAGCTGATCCCAAACAAATTCAGATACATAGCCAATATAGTTCAATTTGAAATATCTAACATTGTTCTCAATACATTGAGTACATTAGTCACAAAGATAATACAGCATATTTTTCACAAGTGTTTTTATTCTAATTTGGAATCCAATAAAAATATTTCAACAATGGAAAGAATTACAAAGTATTGAATTGGGTAAAGTATGATCTCTTGATATTTTCTTTAAACTGGTATTTTTGAATTTTCATTAACAATGTTGTATTTACTTTCCTCAAAGTATTCTGACTATTCAGAATAAAAGAAATATCCAGAAGAAGTCAAGTCTCTATTTTTATTTTGTACAAACATTTATGACAATGTTTAATTTATCCACCTATACATTGAACTAATATGCATTTATATACATAAATGGTTTCCAACTTAAAGGTGTGAATAAAGGTTAATAACCGTAACTCTAGCAATTTTTCTAACAAGATTGAATCTATTGACCACTTACTTGGAAGGATACAGCTGTGGGGAATACTGATGCGCTGATCGGGGGCTGTAGCCACTACTTGTTATTACTGTAAGACACAAAAACCAGTGCACAAAAAGTTGTTTCATAAACACATTTCACTAGAGTATATGCAACCAATTGAAAGGAAATGCCACACTAAATACATGTTTCTAAAAATTTATTCATTTTTTAAAACTGGTAAATCAATTCATTTTCTAAAACTCATATTCTAAAAACAAATAGCTTTTTAAAAACTTCATCCAAGTTTAACTGCTTCCAGATTTGTTCTAAGATCATGAAATTAATATTTCTTTTACAAATCATTCTATCATTCTTTCATTTTCTCAAATCACCAGCAGCTCTTATGTGTTGATATGCTATGAATAAATATCCTTGATCATAGAGTAATTCAACTTTTGTGGTATAAAAGTAAATTTTTAAATTAAAAAATTTTAGATTAGGTCCAGTGTAGTGGCAATATATTGCATCCATATTTATTCTAATTAAAACAAACTTTAAAAAATTGATGTCCTAACCTTCATTTCCTAACATTAAACATGTTATTATTCTCTATTTTCATTTTATCAATCAGATTTGGTAAAAAATGCAGTCTATAGTATCTTAGTACAGTAATAATTGTCCAATACTTACAAAGCACGAATGATGTTGTAATACTTTATTTTAACCTTAATAACAAAAAATTTGGTAACAAGTATATTTACAAATATATTTTGAGCTATCAGATAATACTTTTATGCAAAGAACTTAAAAGTCAAAGCCATACCGTATTAACATTTCTTCCAAATATGCACCCCATACTGGAATATATCCAAAAGTTGGGAAGTTTCTTTCACTTAACCATCTGCCTTGACTAAGACAGATGAAATATATGGACTCTAGCGTGTTGAGTCAGTCTGCTCAGAGCCAATCCATACTGGGCAAGCACACAGAGTGTCTTTATTAGGCCATCTGCTGTTCATTCACTTTTCAAAAAGATTAAAGTAGTACACAATGCAGTGCTGGAATTAGTTTAGTCTAATCAATCATAGTTAAACTTCAAAGCACTATGCCCTTCCTAAGTTGTTCATAATAATTCTAGAGCTAAACTTTTAGAATTGTAAAAGTGACAAATAGGTTTAGGTTGCTAACTATTTTTTGAAATACGATATATTCTATATCCAAATACTGTTAAGTATCCTTGTGATCTACTGCATCATAAACATACAGAATCTAATATGTTTAAAATGCTATTTTGCCTTTTAGAGAGTCTATGAAAAGCATATTTCAGTTTTCACAGCAATAGAGCAGTAATCACATTTTCCTGAAATTCTCAAGTCAGTTTTGAAAATCATCAAATATGACCAAAAGTGCTACATTCTAAATAGCTTCAGGAACCAAAATTTAAGTAATTTTTCTATATAAAGTTGAAAACAAATTGACCAATAAGCCATTAATTTTCTATTTAGTTTCCTACAAACCTGAAAGAATATTGAAACTTTCAAATCAGATTAATGGGAACAAACTGTACTATACCCCATGAACATTAAATGTATATTTTACAATAGTAGTGTTATTCTACAGGAAATACAGTCTAGTCCATTAATTCACAACAATAAGTATTTTGTTTAGTATATATATGGTCAAATGAGGCTTAATTCCTGATTGATTTATATTTTTTTTGAAAGGAACTTCACTTTGTATACTAAACACTTGGGCTATACATACTAGTTGTTTTTTCTCAAGATTAAAAAATACAAGGCTTTTCCAAAAAGACACTGAACAAAAAGAAACATTTGCTCTAGCAGATTTTATTAAATAAAACAGAAAGCAAGATCTCATATTTCAGAAAAAAATGCCATATACATGTACACAGTGCTGAATGTGTAGGAAGTTTTTTCTTTCTAATGAATAATCCTAGACATCACTACAATTTCAGGCTAATGTCTATTTGTTCATTTTAAAAATAAAAGATAAAAACTTTGTCTCAGAAAACTGTCGTATGAGAAAAATGGGAGTCTGTGCTTCTTCACTAAAATTTTATTCTAATGCATATATGTTCAGATAACTGAAAACAAGAAAAAATGGATTAGAAGTGAATTGTGATTATGCTGAGCAGAATAAAGACTTCATTCCTACAAAGGCAAATTAATCTCCAGAAAGATGTGTGAGCTATCAGATACAAATGTGAAAGATCTTTGTCATATTCCCCACTACCACTTAATTAATTATAGAAAGACATTACCCAAACCACTCAACTCATTAACCTCTATGATTTCTGGGAGGATTGGGGGAAGGAGGCAGCAGTGATAATCTTAAAACTATTCTCAAAAGTAACTTTAAAAATTAAATACCTACGATCAGTTTCCCAGAGGACGCTGTTAAGCAATTTAAAATTTTTGTTCATATTATGTCATTACCACCATACTTTAGATGGTGATTCTCAATAGGAGAGGAAGTGGGGAAATTCTGTTTGCCAGAAGACATTTAAAATGTCTGGTGACATTTCAAAATGTCACAAATAGAGGTCTAAGGGCATCTGAGGAAGAGGCAGGGATGCTGTTGAACATCTTGCAATGCAGATTGCAAGAATATAGCTCCCTTCCAATAATGACTTAGTCCAAAAACTTAACAATGTGGCTGTCAAGAATCTAGGCCCTAAATCATTTCTGTGGAGCACAACCTTCCATGACACAGGATATGGGCTCTAAGTAGGGTGTCCAGTATGGTAGCCATTAACTATGGACAGCAAATAAACACTTGAAGTGTGGCTAGTCTGATCACAAACAAAATGCTTTTTTTTTATCATACATTAATTAATTTAAATCTGCTAGCCACATATGGCATGTGGCTACTTTATTGGACTAACATGGCCTAGAAATTTCTAAGAAGAAAATCGGGAAAATGTCTACAAAGATCCTATGAGTGGATTTCAAATATGATAATTGTTTTCACCTTTTTATTTTTCTGTTTTTTTGTATTTTGCCATGAAGTATAAGAGAAAGAACCTAGGACTGATTATCCAACATGGTTCCAGTTCTGTTGCTGACCAGCTGACCAGCTGTGAGGCTTTGATTGTGGGGCCCTGACCATACGGGACTTTTCTGTATTACCTGGGTATTCTTGTCTGTAAAAATGGATCAGAGAGCTCTGAAATTCTTTCTGAAACTAACATTATAGTTTTTTAATTCAACTTTTAAAAGGCCCGTATACATTTGACATATGACAGTAATTACTTCACCATTCTATTCTTTTTCATAAGATCTCATTCATACAGTTACTCTACAGAAAACTTGCAAGAGTTATCACACGTGAGCAATACAGAATAACAAGTGAGCTGGTATTCATGTATCTGCCAGGAGGCACATGATCTGCTAAGAAGGATATGGGTTGGCTAATCTGAGTATTATATGAGGTTTATGAACTATTACTTATTTCTGTTTGGAGTACTAACATTTATGTGAATATGTAACAACTACTTCTAACTGCACACAGTAAAAGTGGATCATCTCTATCCATAAATATAAAGGAAACATGACACTAATTTCCAAGGCACATTTCAACTTTTTTTTTTACATAAATCATAACCACCTAAAATCCTTGCCCATGAGAACAGGGACAAATTATAAAGTATATTAAAGCCAAATAAAAGAATCATTTAATTGCCATAAATACATTTCTAGGTGTAATGGTTTAATGTTCACCTTTCTGATAATACACGTTCTTTCTCACGTTAAAAAAATCCTCTCACAGGATAAGAAGCCAAACAAAATACCTGTAGCTTAACAAAACATCTTTAAGCCAACTTAATCCATGTTCTTTGTACCCAGCCTGGAGTTACCACTATTTATATTTAAAGAGGATTGACGCTTGAAGACACACTATTGTTTTTTCTGAAGCGCAGGCTGCTCTCAGAAGCTGGGTTCTAATGCAACCAGCATGTGTTCCCCAGAAGCCCATTAACCTTTAATACTCATCATTCAGCTGCTTACACAGGAGGAGTCTTTAAACCCAAAGAGGAAACAAGGTTATTTAGAAATGGATAGTTTTACATCTAGAATGATGGACAGAAGGTGATTTTTAATGTCATTGAAGCAGGCAGGTTGAAGGAGTGAAGTTGGCTATTCTGACCTAATTATTAAATTAACTAAACACTGTACAAAGTAATGAGGAAGGAAGCCAGCTCTGCCTATCTCGAGTGACAAAAGCCATGGGATTGTTTCGCCATCAGCTAAAAACTAGCTCACACCATTCCCAACGTGATTCCTAAAAAGTACATAATTTTAAAACAACTTGGTCTCTGAAAGAAGTGAAGTTATTTGGGATCTTACAAAGGCGAGAGTCCTAACAGCTTCCACGTTTATACTGCTATTCACAAGGCGCAAGATGAGTGCGTACCCAAAAGTCTACAAAATGACACATGAGCTAAAGGTTTTACCTGACCCAGTAAAAGTGTCAAGCGCTCCATCTCCAGTCGTGGTTGTGGTTTCACTGCTGTTCAAAGGCTCTGTTTTGACTGCAAGAAGAGACACTATGTAGAAGAATAAGTACACGTGAGTTTTACTTCTAAATTTATATCAAAGACCCTGACTGTTCTACTAGTGATTTTGTTGGCTTACAGGGCATGCAAGAGAAAACTTGAGAAGCTAGGAGGAAAGATTTGTTAATTTAGCTTGTAAACGGGCATGCATTTATAAAGGATTTATTCTAAAATTCTCAGGCTAGGCTACTTCTCTGAGTTTGGCTTTTAATGGCTGTCAACTCTAAGAAGTGAAACAGCAGGACTCTATCTGTATTTAAACTCAGGTCGGCACGCTCTGATACAGTAAGCACACAGAAAAGAGGAATCAGCACATTTAATCCAAATCATAACAAGATTTACTAGCTTACATTTCGTTTTCCAGGAAGATACTTGTAAAAGATGATTGCATTAGAGCACATGGAGGAATATGCAAATCAGAAACCATGAACCTACTCATACGATGGAGGAAAGATAAGTACTCAATACATTTTCTGCTATTAAAAAGGACTAAGGAGCCTTAAAGCACTGGACTTTTATTTTTAGTGGTGTAATAATTTTTTATGTGTAATCCAGAGAAACACAGAATAAGAGCTAATCTCTATAGCAGCAAGTACATCTTCTGAAAAAATTTGTAATGTGTTATTTCTGCTTCCACATGGTGTATTTTGGCAAAACCTTCCCTTGGCAGTGAAATAACCTGGCATACATTAGTGCCATTGGATGCAGAGTGGGCTTGGTGATAAAGCCTCTCTCATTTGTTCACACCATATTTTCCCTTTGTTGGCAAAACTCTACTTCATGTATTATAGCACTGAGGGAATAAAATAATTTATTTTCTACTCAACACCTCTTGTGTTTGCTAGTTATAAATCGGAGAGTGCAGTTAAATAACTTAGAAGCAAGCAGTAGACTATAAAAAAGAGAGCTGAAGACTAGCCAACTATGAATGAATCTGCTAAAATAAAAAAGAACAGCAGGATCATGCAGCACCCACCAACCAATCAAGCCAGCAGTGTTACTTGGTTAGAGAAGTACTAACTGGTGATTATACTCCTTTCACAAGAATGAGTGAACCAGACCCTCAGTGAGCTCTGGGTTAATTTAGCATCTATGATTTAATAATAAAATGATCTGCTGCAAGATTCAGAGGTGAACAGTAAAGGCTGGAAAGCAGAAGTAAGATGCTACATTATTTATATTAGCAAAAGATAAATTTAAGGTTGACCTATCTTGTAATACTAACAATATTAAGAAATGAATCTAACATTTTGTGTCATGAAAAAGAATGAATTGGTGGCTACTAGTTTCCAGTGGTAATGTGCATGATTGCTCGCATTATAGGTTAATCAATGCTTATATATCACTAGAAAATTATTTAGAGCTCACTATGTGCTAGACCATGTACGTTGAGTTAATCCTCTAAACAACTCTGGTGGGCACAAATCATTATTTTGTACAGAAGGAAATTGGTTTGGGAAGGCTGAGGAGTCTGTGTAAGTTCTACTGCAGAAAACTGTAGAGTCAAGATCCGAAGTCAGATCTCTAATTTGTGATCTTTCCTCTATAACAGGCTGTCTTCAGACATGAAAATGGCTTATGCTCCTGCCAATGGCTCTTCCCAGAGGCTCTGATAATGAAGATTATCTTTCCCATAAAACCACTGGGGTTGCTTTATTAAAAATGGAAACTATAAGATACTAGAATAGAATACTAAAGAATATGTTCTATTTTTTCCTCTTGAAATAGTTTATAACACAAAGAAGTGGCAGCAAATTTAAAAGTAGATTAAAAACAGATCTAGGATAAGGTCTCAAAGACATTCCTGGCTCTCTTCTCATGCTTTATAGATATTAATTCAGTCACTCAGTCAGCAGACAACATTATTGTCTTCATTTTTCAGCACAGAAAACTAAAGTGCAGAAAGGATAGATAACTTTCCCAATTATTTAACTTTTCATGATAATTTTGAACACCTTCCTAGTTATAGTTTTCTGAATTTTGTAGTGAATTTACCACAGGTGTACTGGAATGCTACTGATTTGTGTGTGTTCATTTTGTATCCTGCCATATGGCTGAATTTGGTTAATTCTAGGTGGAATAATTTTGTGTCTTCTGCATAGGGGATTATGTCATTTACAAATAATGGTAATTTGCCTCCTTTTCTTGTACCTCTCCCTCTCTTTTGCCTGATTGCTCTGGCTAATGTTTTGTATTCTATTTTAAACAGAAGTGTTGAGAACAAAATGTTAAGTGAAATAAATCAGATAAATGAGATTAAACAATGATAGTTTTTCTCACATGAAAAAGGAAACTAAATGAAATAATAAAAAAAAACAGGGAGACGGACATTTTCCAAGGGAAGGAGACCAAAAAAGGACATCAAAAAAAGAATGAAGATGTGTTGTGTAGATTCACCAACTCCTTATGATGAATGCAATCACTGTGTATTGCAGACATGTACTAATGAAAATAAAAATTAAAAATAACCTGGACATATTCATACTTCTGGAAAGAGCTAGGATTTGAAGCCAGGTGGTACATTTGCAGAATCCAGTCTTTTGGCTGTACTTCCATTAGGTAGCACCAAATAACAAAGGATTCCTCTCACCTGTATAAGGAAATCCCAGAGAATGATCTAGATGTGTGCAAAGGCTACTCTCTATGATGTAGTTCTGATATTTATGACAAAACACACAGTCCAAAGTCCTCAGCAAGATGAAGACAAGAGTCAGTTTCTTTAAATTCCAACTGTGGCTAAATTCCTATTCAAACACAGCTGGATCTATAAATGATACTTGTAAAATAGATTTGTTATGCTACTATACATAGCAGATTTCACTCTTGAATTGGGGTGAGCATAGAAAGTGAGCTGAGTCTGACAAAACAGTTCTACAGGTCAGACATAAGATATTCGTGTTGCTCCTTTGAATTTCAACTTTGAGACCTGATTTAAAAATCTTAGTACTGGTTTTGATTACAATCTGTTCAATTTGAGAGTTTCAAGTGATTAAAAGAGGAGTGAGAGAGTTTTTGATCTTACATGCCATACTGGTGACATCTTTCATTACAAATTAATGGTCTGTATATAGTCAAAGAAAAAACTCAGTCATTTTATTGAGAAAAGAAATCTCTAGAAGATATGTGACAAGATGCACAGCTGTTAATACACACTAATGTACTGAAATGCATACGTTTTACAGCAACCAATAACTGATGGTAACATTTGGAAGAAAATAATGAACATCAGTGTGTTATTATTTGTTCTATGCTGGTAAGGGCAGAACAAAAAAACATGGGGAAATAACTCAATTATATTATCACAGTCAGTAAATGTTCCATTAAGAGAGCATAACCAGCATCTCTTGAGCTCCAAAGTTGCAAAGCTATTTTAGTTTTATTTTTTAAGGAAAAGTAATATTAGATAATAATACATAAATTATCTGGGTGTGATGCCACATGCATATGAACCTAGGCTCTGAGAAGCTGAGGTAAGAGGATAACAATTTGAGCCCAGCTTGGGTAACTTATTCGGGATCCTGTCTAGAAATAAAAAACAAACAAACAAACAAAAATCTGGGATGTAGCTCAGTACAATTTCCAGTATCAGAAAAAGAAATTAAAACTTTGTTTAAATGTTAGGAAACCCAGAATGAAATCAATAGTCTTTATTTTATTAGCTATTAAGAATAGATTAGAATTAAGAAATAGAAAATAATAAAAAAATTCTTAATTAGAATTAAGAATAGATTAGAACAAAGAAATGTAATCTTGATATTAATAAAACAAGTTGCCATTATGACATGTACCTGTATCATAATTACAGATAAAGCTGTAAGGTGGAAGTAATTTTCACTGAAGTTCCAAATATGTTTGAAGCATATTTATTTTCTTGTCTATTATTTTGTTTTCATGATTTAAGATACTATTAACTCTCCTAACAGCAGAACAGTTTTTATTAAATATATGCAAGGATGATGTGCATTAATAAGACAAATTTGCCCTTTACTTTTCTAAAACTCTCCGTTCAATGTATATACATTGAAATGTGTAATCATGTTTTTAATCTGTATCTTGATTTTCTTAATTTGACATGAATTTTAGACAGTTTTTTTCTTTCTAACTTATTTACAGGACAGTATCTAAAATCACACCATACCAAAAAATAGAAGCCAAAACCTTGCATTGGAGAAAAGCATTATATTTTTCAAGAAAATTTCAATTCATGTATCAAAAGTTGTTATTTCAAAACAACAATCATAGTTGGAAAGTTTCGAGGCTTTGTTCTTGAAAACTTGAAATACATACTTGAAATAAATGAGAATATTTGTTTCTCTAAAAGTGAAATAAAATAATTTTACATCACATGTATGGAACTGTTATGTTGAACAATATGTGCATATTTAATAGTTCTTTTGACAAATTTTCTACTTACAGCATGGGTGCTTTCCATAGAGACAAGTAATATAGATATAGACATATATGCATATATACTACAGATATACACGATATATGCACATATACATTTGGCAAAACTTTGTGTTTTTTAGCTTTAAAAATAATTTGCATCAATAGACTAAATCCAAATCAGCTGTGATAATTTTCAGGTGTTGATTATGTCTACAGGATCACCTTTGTCCCTCTATTCCTTTTTTTTTTTTTTTTTGCAGAATCAGTATTGAACTCACAACCTTGTGCTTGCCAGGCAGGCACTTATGCCACTGAGTTAAATTCCCAGCCCTGTCCCCCTATCCCTATACATCTATTTTCCAAACAAATTTTATCTTTTCTTTATATTACCTTTAGAACTTTTGAAAGAATTCCATTTTATTATCATTAACTCAAAGTTCAAATTCATTTCTTGCAATATCAAGCTGAATCCTTGAATGGTGACCCTGGTAATTTACATTTTGTATTTCAGAAATCTGTGCTTACATTGGTGTGCATTTAAAAAAATATGAATAGATACATTGATATTAGCTTCTATAAACAATTGCAGGAAAATCTAGATCAAAAATCTTCCAACTTATAACATTGCAGAGAATTCTTAAGCATTACTCACTAGATTTAATAATCAGCATAGTTTTTTATTCATTTGTCTGAAAAACTTCGAACGACTTAATGTCTTTCATTTCTAACTAACCATAAAGAATTTAATTTTATGAAATAACTTGACTAAATAAATTATAATTTTCAGTCTGAATAAATCTAAAAGAGTAGAGTCACAGTAGTAGGTTGTCCTACTGCACAAATAACATTCACAAATAGATTTATTACACCTGAGTTAATCACCCATGTGTTAAAATTCTGTAAGATTCTTTTATAGATTGAACCCAAGTTTAAGAAACTCAACACAGCTGGTCACAATGGCTGATTTTCAGTTCCCTGAAATCTCTTCTTCAAAGCCTCCTCTCACTCTCTATGCAGAATCAAATACTGTCTCCCTCTGCCATGTATCTGCCTGCAATACTTCACGGAACTCAGTATTTTCACCTGTTTCCCTCTGTTGGACTTTCCGTTTCTGGATAGCCCGTGGCCTGTTCTTTAGATTACTCTTTTCCCACTTTCTAGCACAGAGTCTGACATATCCTAGGAGCACAACACATTTTAGTAAGTGAGAAAGTGAAGATTCGCTCCTTCAGAAACTGTCATAAGCATGCCCAATAGACCTGGACATTTCTTATACGAAGTATAGTTATTGGGATGCTAGACACATTTACCAAATTAGAATCTAGAATTACCCTTATCTGGTAGAAGATTTTCTGTAAGTGGCACGCATTTTTATTTGTATAACATGTTTCATGTACATGCATGTAAATCCCTATCAGGGGTTGAGGTAAATCTGACCCATGGCCTGTTTTTATATGATTCATAAGCTAAGGATATTTTTTTCTTTATAAATTACTGAAAATATCAAAAGAAGAATGATATTTTGTAATGTGACGATTTCACAAAGTTAAAATTCCATCGCAGAAAACTCAAATTCATTTGCGTACAACTGGGCTTACTTGTTGAAGTGCCGCTCGCGGCTGTTTTTGGGTTTCAATTGCAGACTGAATGGTTAAAAGACAGTTCACAGAAGCTGACAAAACCTGATGACTGATTTGTTTGATAAGGTATGATTGCACTTATTCTACCTTTCATGTTTCACATTTTAATAAATTCGCAAATAATAAAAATTTGAAAGAAAATATCGATTCCAGTATATCTCTCCAAAAATAATTGGATAGTTAGGATTAAGGTGACCCAATTCTAACAACAAAACCCAGAACTGAAAATAAAATAGTTCACTCTCAAAAGGAGAGATTATACAACAAATGTTGAGTTTGTGTTATAACACTTGCCGTAAGTCATTAAAATTTCTTAAAGCTTGAATGTCACTATGCCACTAGGACTGTATCACTAATAATCAAAGTATGGCTAACATTTTGCTACTAAGAGTTTGGCTTTGGTCCAGGATACACATATCTAAATGCAAAGGGATTTGTCACTTTGCCAAATATTAGTCTCTTAACACAGTACATGTTTTTATTTTCCTTAAAAATTGTTGCTAAATTCTTATGGAAATATTTAATATCAGGAAGAAAACTATGATGGTATCTATTGCTAAAAAATAACAGTCTTGCAGCAATTATGATCTATATTTTATATAAAGAAAGGAACCGAAACCCAGAAAGGTTAAGGAACACATTCAGGGTGACACAGCGAGTGAGTGCACTGCAAAGACCCAGATCCACAGCGCCCCTGACACACAAGTCTTTGTCCTTCCACGTGGCCAGATGAAGCATGACATAATGTTGAAAACCAGGAAAATGTAACACTTCACATTTCAGATGAGATGTAATTACTAAATAGTACTTGTTTATATTCACTATTGTATACCGTTGCCTAGATTACAGTAATACCGCTTTCGAAGAGCCAGCTCTTGCAGTATTAATGCTTTTTAACGTTTTAACTGAAAAATGAACGAACTTTGAATACTTTGTAACATAGAGAAATTACGTGAAATTTTAATCTCAAGGTCCATAGTAAAGTTTTATTGGGAAACAGCCACGCTCCTTCACGCAGCCACAACGCATGGCCGCTTTTGCACAGCAGGGTCACAGCTAAGCATGTGAAAGGGACCCATGGCCGACACAGCCAAGCATATTTACTACCTGGCTCTTTATCCAAAACACATCCCCACATTCGGCTTAACTGAATTCTGACATGTTTTCAAGTTTGAAAATTACATTTCAAGTATGAAAATGAAAAGTATTTGAAATAAACGATAAACAATATAACTGGTGAGTGTAATAAAGCACTCTTTATTCATTGGTCATATTCTAATTTAACCTGAGAGAGAGCAAGTTATGGCCAAACTGCTTTTTTCTGCCTGTTGGCTTGACAAACCCATTTCCAATAGGCACAAACTTTCCTGTTTAATTATAAAACCGTGGTTCTGGAGCAGTAGTTTTGTTTTAATTTTCAAATTTTGATAGCATATTGACATTTGAAGTAAGAGGAAAATTTGTTTGTTCCATTATGAGCATAAAGAATATTTATAGGATAAGGTATTAAAGGGTCTGAATATTCATTTATAATTTTAAACCCACAGTTTTCACCACTGAGAATTTTTAAAGTAATGCAATATTGACTATTAATGTTATTTTAGGTACTTTGGAATAGTTATAACAGGCTGTACAGAAGCAAATATTTTTATCCATCTTAAAATTTTAATTTCAATTATGGCAGCCTATGCGTTGCAAGGTAATTAAATTGTTATATATTACACATTTACGTTGATTCTACTACTCTGATTGGCATACAAGAAAGTGGTAAGCAGTTCAAAAACAACCAATATATGACTCTGTGTTTGCAAAACAATTTTAAAAACTAAGAAAAGAACAGTATTGATCTAAGCCAACTAAGACTAGAGCATCAATTGATAAGAAAGCTGCACCAAATATTATTCATAAACAACTAAAAGGTATATTAACAACTTCTTGTTTATAATACTGACCATGGAAAAGAGGTGCAGACAGAAATAGCAACAGACAGCAAACCAGAGGGGCAAATCCGCACACCCAAACACATGCAGTGTACCATTATCTCCCGTACTTGTTGCGGAAGAGGGGGTGTTACAACTCAGCAACCAGTCTGCTGTATTTAAAACAGTCATGCTGTCCCCTGAGAACAGGAATGGCATAAGAGTTCATTGTCTGAATGCCTGCTGTGCGTACGAGTAATCTTCAATGCCTGTCTGGCTTCTGACCTTTTAGCAAAATTACAACTGCACCGTATGGCTTGTACATTTCACTTAATCAGGTCTGTTTTAGTTCAGCTATATATATATATATATATATATATATATATATATATATGATCATCTGTCAAGCCAAGGTCCAATTCCAGAGTACGTGAATGTCTCAATCTTACTTTCTGAACTCAATTTAAAGTTTAAATGTAAATGTTCTTATTCTAGGAGTCATTGTTAAATATTCTTATACAGTTGTAATCCCATAATTAATTAGCTGAAATTATAGATGCATGTTTAGAGACAAATATAACAAAGATAATGTTAATGTACAGAGGGTTTACTGTGGAACATTAAATACAAGTAAGTTGCAATGCACACAACTTGACAAAGAAAATTTTAGATGGCATAGTTATTCTACATTAAATGGAAGAGGTGTGTAGATTTCATAGATATTTAGTTAAAATTTAAAAGAAAATATGATGTGGCAAATGCTAACATTCAGTCAAATGAAGTTTACAAGTAAAATGAAGTCACAAACTTTTACTTAATTGGCTAAATTAAATCTACAAAATTTCAAAGTTGTAATAATTCAAAATGCAACTTGTGAATTGTACATGTGTAAACATATACACAGTCCCTGAGATACATAGCCAATAGAATTAGATCATAATCTCTGACAAGTTGAATGGATTTTATAAAAACAGTAGAGATGACTATCTGAAATAATAGCTGTTCCTGCTACCATATGTTATGGTGCAATGATAGTCTAATGAAATAAAAACAAGTACCTAGAAAAATAAAATCCTTTTCAAAATAAATACTAGGCACTATGGTATTATTCTCTTTGAAAAGAAAATACAGCAGATATGAGTATTTCTGTATTTCAAAAACCATTTTTAAAATTAATTATTTTTATGAAAAATGAGACTAACTTCCTTTTAAAAGCCACAGTAAGTCTAAAAAGTGGCATAAGTATAAAAACATAGAACAGGAAGACTTCCTGCCGGCCCTCAGAATGTTGCTTAGGATGATCTAGGCTCCCTTAACAACACAGATTTCAAGAAAACAACAGAAAAAGAAATACTGTATTAACTATGTGTTCCTCCTATATAATGTCAATTTTAGTATTGATAAAAAGATATTTATTAGCTGATCCCTAAAATGTCAGATTAAAACAAACAGTGAGATGGGACTCTGGGTATCTCTGGGGTGACCCACTTACCTCCTGTCCCATTTGTGGTGACCGATGTGCTGCTGAGGTTAGGTTTATCCAGTTTGGAGCTACCAGGAGCATCACTACCTCCAACAAGAGTGTGAGGACTTGCCAGGTCCTGCATTTCCATAGACCTGTTAGAGCAAAAAGCAGCAAAGTTAAAATGTCTGCAATCATTTCTTAATAAATTACATATAGTATTCTACTGAGCACATGGGAGATATCACAGTAAGATATCACAGTAAGACATGAAATGAGTAGCCAAGATTTTTCATCTAACTGGTGAATATGCTAGTCCATTGAACATCAACAAAATTATATAAAAAGTGATGAATCAATATGAAAAGCTTCCAGAGTATATCCTATAACTTTGTATGTAATAATGTAAGCTCCCAGAGTATATCTTGTAACTTTCCATATAGTAATGTAAGCTTATAGAGTATATCCTATAACTTTCTATAAAACAATGTAAGGGGAAGAGCAGACGGTCATCTTGACGGTTTAAGTTGACACAGGCAACCTGCTTTCCTAAAGTGATCGTCTCTGCTGTAAACACAGAAATGCTGAAAATGTTTGACTCCCATAACTTGGTATCCTCTATCCCATAGAGAAAAATATCACTAGCAAAAATTAAACTGAGTTAACACCTAGAGTAGAAGCTTCTAGTCGTCCTTGACAACACAGGTGACTGAAAATGAGTCCATGGCTAGCAATCAGAGTGGTGCTACATTTGATATTCATTGAAGAATAGACGACTTTGACAAAGGTTTGTTTCAGACCATGTGCTATTGAAACTCTTAAAAATAAATGTGGGATTCTGGAAAGGATGACTCTTTTCTGAAAAGGAAAGAATTGTTCAGTGACCCAATCAAGTTATTGCACATGCTTTCATGAGAAAAAGGAAATATGTGAAATAAACAAAAATTAAGAATACTTGTCACCATTGACTTGATCAACAACAGATACTATGGATGTATTTCAGCTGACAGTAAGAATACCAAGTGAAAACTCAGATCTACAAAATAAAATAAACAGTAAAATAAATGTAAATAAATGTGTAGATGTCTCTTTTATTTCTGTCCTAACTCTTGAAAAGAGAGACAACTGAAGAAAACATAATTAAATTGAAAAAGTTATAGTATGGCATAGAAGTAAAATAAATGGTGACAATGGCACACAGGATTGTGTTACTTCATTCATGCCTAGGGTTTCCATTTAACACTAAATATTATATTATACACCCTAAACCTACCTGTTATCCAAATTTAATATAACACCTAAAACTAAGTGGAAGAACTTTAAAAATATATAACTTTATTTCACAATCCTCTGTGCTATTATTTTCAAGTGCACCTAGAACATCTGCCACAATGACTATAAGCTGGTCTGTAATGCTCATAGATTTCACACTGAAATTTTACAGAACATGGTCTATGACCTCATTGAATAAATTTAGAAAACAAAGGCAATCACATATATAAAGTATATCCCCAACACTGAAAATTAAAAACCACACAACTAAATAATCTCTGGGTGAAAGATAAATCCATGAGTAAATGTAAGTTTAGGAAAAATGATAATGAAAGTCCACCAAATCAAAACTTGCATCATGGAAATAAAGTAGTAGGTAATGATAAATATGAATTAGAAAAGAAGAAGGGCTTAAAACGTACATCTAAGTTTCCACGTTAAGAACCTAGAAAAAGAAAAATAGGAAACAAAAAGCAGAAATAATTCAAATTCTATCAACAATACATAACATTTACAAGTCCAAAAGATGATCTCTGATGATATTATTGACAATAAAAAGATTAAAAGAATAAGGGAATATTATGAACATTATTATGCCAATGATTTCAATAACATAAAACCAGTGGAATTTGTGAAAGACACATTTGTGAATACTAACATAAGAAAACACAGAAAATCTGTGGGGTCATTGCTCTAACTCTACCTGACTACGTGGTCCTGAAGCCATTAAAATAGGTTTGCACAAAGAGTTCAGAAATGTTTGGAGCTGCTGACTTAGAAAAGCCTGGAACGCTACAGGCAAAATAGGATGGATAATTCTGGTCAGAGCTCAAAAGATCAAAATAACACAACAGTACAAACCAGGCATAGGTTTTAATTGGAAACAAGGACTCTATTAAAAACTGGACTAGAGGCCATGCATATTACACTCTGGAAAAAGGTTCGTCATTTTTCCCATGTTGAGACTCTGTGGGAGACTGAGATTAAGGTTAGTGAATCTGGCAGAAAAAGAAATAGGGCAGCCAAAAAATTCATGATATAATGGGTACTGCTGGCTAGTTTTAATCAAATTTACAGTGAGAATCAGGAGCAAAAACATAGAGCTAAGTGATACAAAGCTTGGCCAAAATGTCAGGACCTGTAAAATTGGGGAAAGCCAAATGTGGTTGATGAAATGATTAACAATTTTTTCAAAAAGCCAAATATTTTACTTTAGTACAATAAAAAAGATAGCTCAAATGAATCTCACAAATCAATACCCTAAACATCATAGGTTCAACCATGCAAAATTACTCTTTTACTTTTTTTAAAGAACCTGGTTCCCACTGAAAATGGGCTACATCAAAAAGTTGAGTCTCAAGTAATAAGAACTGTGAGAGTAATAAAAACCAAAATGTGTAATTGTCATTGTAAAAAAGAGGGGAAAAGAAAGTGCTCTAAAGGATATAACTGCATGTATATTTAAGTATATAAGAGATAACCATATTACTGAGTTTTTGTTGGATCTTTGAACAGAATTGTTTGCAGTCTCACTGTTTGAATGTCTACTTTGTATGCTTTAATTTTGTAACTTGAACAACTATTTCTAAGATGACAATATGTAATCTATTAACTAGTGATTTCCTACTGTTTATTTTTTTTTAATTCTGTATTACTTGTATCCTTTTTCTGTTTTTTTTTTCTCCTTAAATAAAATTAAAAAACAATAAAAGTTGAGTCTCCAGGGTTCATTTCCCCATGGTCAACTTTCTAGCTATGCAAAGGTTACTGCAACAATGGCCCGAGGGGACATAACTACTACACAAATTATGGGCAACATAGTGCTGCTTTACAAACAGAATGCAAGTGGTATAGGGTCACAGAAACTTCCACTCAGATTTTAAAAAGGACTGCAAGGTCAGGCAATGTGCCTGTCAGGTCAGTGTGCAAAGCTGTGAGAGGAAAGCCAAAAATACAGAAAAGTTCCCAGGATAGATACACCAGGAAGGTGGATGGATTATCTGCTAACAAACAGCAAATGGAGACAATTTAAAAGAACATCATGTGGGCTACAACCAGCAAAGACATAGCTGTGAGGTTACTAAAGCCCCTCACAACTCATCTCCTGCTATAATCTGCCCTGAGAGTTTCATATAAAACTTAAAATTTAATGTTGGTGCTACTGGTTTTCAGGCTTGCTTTGGTTCTTTTTCTTTCTATTCCTCTACTTGTCCCATTTAAAATAAAATTGCTTTCCTGGTAGCACTGACTGAATTTTTAAAAATTCAATTTTTACATTTGTATAGGGGCTCATACATAATATTTTTCTTACATACCAAAATAAATAATAAATGAATAAATAAATAAATAGATAAATACATAATTTTACACCTGAGCCTTTCAACAATGCTAAACTATTGACTTTAACAATTTTTAGTGATGGAATAAATATAGTTTATATAAAAAATAAACATGAGACTTTTGTGAGATCACAGGCAAAATGTTATGACTCACACCTACAATACAAAAGTCTCATATATTCAGTAAATATGGTAGCATTATAAGTTCACATGTATGGATTAATCCACTAATGAATTCACAGCTAAATGTGCTATTAGGGGGTGGTACCAGACCAGAACAGGATGTCACTGGGAAGATGCAATCTTGTCCTCAGCTCTTCCCTTCTTTCTTTCATTCTGGCCTGGCATAATACAAACAGCTTTCCTCTAGAAGTCACTCCACCATGCCATTTCTTTCTTGGAGTGAACAACTATGAACTAAAATAAACTAAACTAAAATAAACCTCTTTTCTTTTAAATTACGGGTATTTGGTATTTTGTCCCAGTAACAAAAACGAAGCAAACAAATAAACAAAAGAATAACAATATTACATGCAATTAAATATCAAATTGAATCTCATAATAAAATGTAGCACAATGAAATGTGTTCCATCTTGGGAATCTGAAATTAACTGACATTTGGAAATCATTGCAACTCAATACATTAATGGAATGTTATTTTCATGATTACAAAAATTACTTGATTCTATTCATCACCTATTCACTATATAAACACTTCAGCAACCTAGCAAAAAAGTATTCATGATTCATCTGACAAAAACCATTCTTGAAAATCTACAGTTTATATCATATTCAATTATGAAATATTGAATTACAGTATTTCAGAGCCAAAGACAAACAATATCTGCTTTTCATTCTTCAGTATAATATTTTACTGGCAATCATAATCAGCACAAGACAAAAATAAATAAATAAAAAGGACAAGGTTTAGAAAGATAAAACTGTAATTCTCATATGACACAATTGTTTCTGCAGAAAATTTTGAGAAGCCCATCTCAAAATTCCAAAATTATGAGAACTAATTGATCCTAGTGAGATGCACATGGACTTTGTCAGCACTAAATAAATCATGGGCTAAAAATATCTGAAACTTCAGTCAATGTGTCTCAAGTTCAAACACTGAAATATCAAAGGGTGGTTGTTCAGGAGATTCTACTCCACTCTATGAGACGCTAAAGGATCAGTCCTTCATGTTAACTGCTGACCTAAGAAAGTACTTACACTCTTGGGAAAGTAAAACAAAAACAGAAATAAACCTCTACTGCAACTTTTGTGTATAATGCTCAAAACATCATACACAGTGATACTGTAGCAGAAGTCACACCCCCAGTCAGTACACTTCAGTTCTCAGTTTCCCAGGCAAAAGTTTCGGTTACAGTTCCTGTTGCTTTTGTTTCTTAGAAATGGCTGATCACTGTGATGCATACTCTAAGAACCAATCCCCAATTAACAGGCCTTCCTGCCTCTAAACTTCCTGCTTCCTTATCTCATATAAGCCCTACCAGCCATCAGGGAATGATATTTTAAGAATGATCTCAATCCAT